TAAATCAAAAGGTATTACAAATGTTCGTCCTGGTGCTTCTCGTCAACATTTTCTTGACTTTGATAATACGAGTACTCAACAAGACAGTTCTCGTCGACAATTAACAGCCACTTCTTGGCACAGTTCGATCAAGTAAAACTAAATTGCCTTTTCTTTTTCGTTTATTTATTTATTTATTTTTGAATGAATTGAAACATTTTTCAGTGAGGAAAACAAAGAGGAAAAAGACGTTGTGAGTTTGTGTATTCATCTATTAGATCTTCTTTTTCACATTGTTTTTGGAGTGTCTTACATAACACTTTTAATTTTTTAAATTAAAATTAATTACTAAAAATGATAACTTATTTAGGAAGATATATTTTCTACTGAAATTGATGAACAAGTCTATGAACGATATTCACTCGGAAATTTTTTACCAGACCAATGGACAAGAGGTAAATTTATTCTTTTTTGTTTTATTTCTCTTTTATTTTATTCTCTTATAGGACATGGTGCAGGAGATACATTGAAAAATATTACTGATAATCATTGTAGCACATTGTAAGTTAGAAATTTCGAGTTTTTTTTATATTGATGATTGTTTTTGGTTTTTATTAATAAAAAGTTATGACAAAGCTATGGAACTTATGGAAAAACGTATAAATTATGAAGAAGCATTAGTTAATATAAATAAATGTCTTCTTCTTAAACCATTTCATATTCCATTTTATGAAATTCGATCAGAAATCTATTTAAATTTATGTGATTTTCAAAGTTCAATTATAAGTTTGCAAAAAAGTATTTTATATACACAAGTAACAACAGCTAATAATGCAGCAAGTAATAGTCGATTATCAAAAAATGAACAGCAAGCAATATCAAAACCTGTAACACCAGCTCATCGAGAAGATAGATTAACAAATGATAAAATAGCATTTCTTCGATATATCTCAGGTGTAACATTATTTGATCAAAAACTTTATTTAGATGCATTGGGTATTGTTGCAAATGGTTCTAATATATTTATTACATTACCATTTCAAATCTATAGGTATTTAAATATAAAATATGAAAAAAAGAATGAAAATGTTTTCTTTTTTTTTTTTCTTTTAGTATCCTTTGTCTAACAGCTTTAAATAAAATCGATGAAGCCAGTACATTAATAACTCAAATGATCGAACAATATCCTCAAAATGCTGATTTATTAATTATTCGTGCTCGTCTATTTTATAAAGACAAGACTAAGGTTTTTATTGAAGAATTACTGTTTTTTTTTCCATTGATTCACTTTTACGAAGAAAAAATAGCATGAATTTTGTGAATAACTTCTTCAATAACTTGTATAACATGTAAAACACTTGTTACAGCTTCAGTTGCTATTGTGTTTTGCATTTTAGGAATTAAATCAGTTATCATATTTCTAATAGTTTGTAAATGTGTTTTAAGAAAAGTACTTAATTTTGAAATTAATTGTCTAAATTGAGTTGCTAAATTACCATTAAGAAAACTTTGAAGAATTTCAAGCATTGATTGTTGAAAAG